AAGGAATAACAATTATCTTTCTTAGAATGAGCCAGCAGCACCTCCATTGGTTTAGCAAGGAGGAACAACAAGGGATCTAGGTCAAACTGCCTCGCCAACAAGTCCCTGATACCCTACCAAAAGTGCTTCAGCCTCGGGCATTCCCACCATATGTGTGCATATGTACCCTTGTCATCACACAGTTTCCAACATACACAAAAAAAGAACAGTATTCATAACGATGTAGTGTCCCTCTGCCCTAAAGGTATTGGCTCCGCCACGGTAATTAAAAGGTTATAAACTGCTGGCTCCGTCTCTGCCTCAAGTGTTTAAAAACTCTTTAAGCACTTAAGGCTGGCTGCATTATACTCCCTGATATCTAAAACAGACACAGCAGAGTGTCCCCAGGATAAAACCTGGATCAAAAGTCAGAATGTATATAATGTAATAACTGATAGTCGCAGTACTTGCTTAAAAATTATTTGTAGTGATGTTAATCCATATGTGTTTTCTCAAATATTTCCGAACCACTGCTTCCAAACAGTAAAGGAAGTTTTAATAGGTCATATCATTCCTACTGTCTGGGCTAATATTTAAAATAACCAGCTAAGATAAAATAAATACAAAAATAAACCCTCTACCTTTAACCAATTCATTAATAAGCATTTTTTTTATTGAAAATATTAGCATAATTTATAGTGATGTAAATCCATATGGAGCTATGTGTTTTCTCAAATATTTCAGAACCACTGCTTCCAAACAAAGGAAGTTTTAATAGGTCATATCATTCCTACAGTCTGGGCTAATATTTAAAATAACCAGCTAAGATAAAATTAATTTAAAAATAAACCCTCTGCCTTTAACCAATTCTTTAACAAGCATTTTTTGATTGAAAATATTAACACCCTGAAGGTCCTTATTAAAAATGTCAACAGAACGTAAAAAGAATGTGTGCATTCATACATAATGCCCACATACAGTTAATGTAATGTGGCAGATCTGCAAATAGTACAGCGGTGGAAGCCAGCCGAGGGCCAACCAACTGGAGAGGTAAAGGGGTCAATATTGTGGAGACCAAGCTGCATAGCTGCGGAGAGTATACGAGTGGCGAACCATCATTGTACTTATTTGTTTTAATGTGTTATATCAAGTCCTTGATTTAAATGGTTGAATGTAACTAAGAGATTAAACTCTGAATGAGAGCAAATCGAAATCTGAATAGCAAAATCTAGACAAAAAAAATGACCAAACTTTGACATTAACTGTGCTGGAGACTGTTTCCAAGTCGCCATTTTTGTATTAATTTCAGCATTCTGCACTGACGGGTTTAGCTCAGACAGAGAGCTTTCGGATTGCCATACAAAATAGTGTAGGCCGAGAATGGTTCCCAGTAGACCCCAGGTACAATTCAAACCATTCAAAAATGTGTTTTGACACCTTACAATGGAGAGTGCTCCATGGCACATTTGGCACCAAATCCATTAACATAACATTACAGTGGTTATGGTGCTTGAATATTCCTTTAATCCTACAGAGCATGGTACTTAATACTCCAATAATAATACTAATAAGATATAGACCTATCTACATCAAAGAGTATGTAGCTGTTGATGTTTAGTGAGGTTAAGAGAAAGTGAGTGTGTTTTTTGAAGTTAAAGAAAGAGTCATGTGGGTCTTTAACTTAGACAAGGAGTTGAGAGGTTGATACATTAGAAAATATGAATGGTCTGGAATTTACTTCTTAGAGATCCTCTGTTCACATTTTATTAATAGTAAATTTGTTAAACATTTGATTGAGCTATTTAATGTGTTTTTGTTAAGTTTATGTTCGATTTGGCTTCATGGGTGTAAAATCAGAAAACAGATCAAAGGTTTATTTAGCTAACCTACATTTAGCAGTGTAAACAAAACCAATGGGCAGCACACAGTGATGTGTTCTAAAAGAATGTTGCTGAGCTGGGGAAAATTGGTTGTTCTATTATATTTTGTTTCTATATAATTCTAGTTATATAGAGTAATATAGTAATATATTCTTTTACATTACTCTGTAGAATGGAAAGAAAAGACAGTAAGAAAAACACCTTGTCCCCCAGAGCTTGCAATCTGTTATTTGGTATGTTTAAGGCATCACAATTGCAAATTGAATTTTACGATTTTTTGATTTTCTCTTTACTACAATTTGGTATATGGTAAATACACTTACAATTCGTTTAATTCTGAATCGGAAGCTCTGAATGTCCTAATTCTTTAAAAACCTAAAACAAAGGAAATCAGAACAAATAGAAAACATTTATTTTGGATCTATTCATTTTCATAAGGATAGCAAACTAGAAACGTATCAACTTAGCAACTGAAAAAGCAAGATTAAGAAAAGGGCATTCCTTAATTTTGCTATTGCAGCTGTTTAGTAGATAGCTCCCTTATTTGATATACGTGTATATCGCATACATTCTGTATACATGCAGCACATGCAAATGGGTGGAGTCACTAGGGCCCCCCCATTATTAAGTAGCTCAGTTATGTATTTAGTATCTGTGCTGCCTTAGGCATGACGGAACTCGGGCACCCCCTAATTTAAATTTGCCCCAGCCCTTCCTGTCAATGCCACACCTCTTCCTGTTAAACGACTAACACACTCTTTGACAGACACACTTTCAGATACACTGACATACACACACTGATTTGACACAAACAATCACTGACTCACTGACATACACACAATCACTGACATACACACACACTGACAGGCATACACAATCACTCACACACACACATTCACTGACAGACACTCACTCACAGACACAATTACTCAGAAACAAACACATATTCACTGACATACACACACACATTCACTGACAGACACTCACTCACAGACACAATTACTCAGAAACAAACACATATTCACTGACAGACACACACACACACACACACACTCTCACTCACTGACAGACAGCCACACAGTGACAGACACACCGACAGACATACACACACACAATCACTCAGATATACACACACTGACAGCCAGACACACACAATTACTTAGACATACACACACTGACAGCCAGACACACAAAATCACTCATACACACACAATCACTCAGACAGCCAGACACATACAATCACTCACACATACACACACTAACAGCCAGACACACAAAATCACTGACATACACTGACAGACATACACACACTCACTGCCAGACACACAAAATCACTCAGACATACACACACGGACAGCCCCCTTCCCTCCCCTCTCATCTCCCCCCTCCCCTCCCCGCATCTCCCCAAACATTAACCATTACTTTTTCTATTTTAATTTAAATCCACCCAGCCTCCCTACCTTTGGGAGTGCTGGGTGGATTTTTTTTGCCGCCCCCTGGAAAGTGCTGCCCAAGGCAAATGTCTTGTTTGCCTCTCGGCAAATACATCCCTGAAGTAGCTCCCACGTGCTGACCGGGTGGAGGGGGAGAGGGAGACAATTGGATGTCTCCTCCTCAATATTTGTATTTAATTACCTACACCTGCTTGACATTGGTGGGGCAGGGGAGTGGACAATGATCTATGCACCCCACTTAATATATCCCAACCCCAGCAATAGCTGCCAAGTCGCTAGTTTTAAACTTTAAGTAGACATACTCCCACCTGCCAAGTGGTAGGCTAAAAAGCACTGGCTAGCAGCAACATAGTAAAAAAAAAAAACTTTGGAAAAGCAAGGGTTAACTATTTGGCTGTAAGTGCTAGCAGCGGGCAAGACTGGATTTCAGCAGCCTGGCAGTGTTTGGTCCGGATGAAATCTGGATGAGTTTAGGCTTATTCGGAGACTGCAGGGCAAAATCTGGACTTTGTTATCAATAAAACATTTTTTTTTTCCTTTTTAGCTTATTATATATTATCAAATAGTTTGTAAGTGTATAACTTCTGCATCACAGGTTACATATTTCATTATAAGGAGATAGGACGCTACTAACCAGCCACGTCTGCATTCACACACTGACACTACACACAAATAGACCCCAACATTCACACACTGACACTACACACACAAATAAACCCCAACATTCACACACTGACACTACACACAAATATACCCCAACATTTACACAATGTCACTACACACACAAATAAACCCAAACATTCACACCCTCTCCCCAGGCATCAGAATAGTTGCCATGTGTAAAAAATATACATATATAGGTTAATAAATTTGTAACATATTAAAATAAATTCATTATTATTTTATAGGAATTTTTTTTCATTCTCACAATATTTCCTTTCTTTCTATTATATTATATTATTATATTTCTTTCTATTACAGTGGTCCGGAACATTTTGTATTGTGAAAAATTTGTAAACCGAAACATGGTTTCCCATAGGAATGCATTGAAAACCAATTAATCCATTCCAGAGATCAGAAAAAAGTCAAAATGAGTTGGCCATGTGCTACCCACAGACTCCAGGATGCACGGGGGGGTGCTATAAAACTCCCAGGTGCAATGCATCCTGGGGAAACTTGCCTCGTATTGCAAAAATAATTGTAAACCCACGCATTATTTGGATTTTCAGCCTGAGCCACCACTGGACCCCAGGGAAAGTCACCCTCCTCCACCTAAAAGGTAGGAAACAGGAAGGTGACTTAAACATTTTGTATATGTGTGTTTTTGTTTGTGTGTGTGTATGTGTCTGTGTGTGGGTGTATGTATCTGTATGTGTGTGTCTGTCTGCATGTATCTGTCTGTATGTGTGTGTGTGTCTGTATGTATATGTATGTATGTATGTATGTATGTGTGGTGGGGGGTGGAAGGGGAGGGGTGATGGGCAATGGATTGTGTGTACGCCACTGCACTGTATATTGTTCTCTTTGGCCAACCCCTTCCCCTCAGAGAAACTTGTGTTGGAAATGTGCCTGTCCCCAAACTGAAAGTCATCTTACAACAACACTATTACTTTATTCTTTATAAAGACTCGTGGCTTTATTAGTTCATACACTTCTCAATTATGTGTATGTTTCCCTCATTAGATCTCCAACCCACATTCTCCTAATGTCCTTCTCAAACCAGCATTAATTCCCTTGACCTTTTTCCTGCTAAGATCATTCTCTTTCCTTCTCAGTCATACCCAGCCTTGTTCACCAGTTCCACTTTCCTTGTCAGACCCTAATTTTTACTTCTCTTAGCCCCGTTTTATCTTTTCAGCGCCTGTTTTTAACCCAGCCGTTCTCACCCAGCAGAACCTGTTTCCTTCTTAGTCAACTTGCATAGACCATATCCATCAGACCTTAGGTTCCTTTTCAGCCTCAAATATATTTTTCCCTGTTTTCCTTCAACTATTTATTTTCATATCTTCTCTTTCCTTCCTAGACCCCAGCTTCCCTTGTCAGGCTCTGCTTTTTTTCTAATCCATTCACCCCAAAAACATAATTGCCTCCTTTATCATGCCCCTTTTTGGGCACGTCCACCCCTTTGGGTGATACTGATTATGTGATTCGCGTCAGTGGCCCACCCTTTTACCCTGCCCACTGATACCCTGCGTCACTGGGCGCTGTTATTAGGGGGTATGGATTTGCTTGACAGATGAAAGCAAGAGATTAGCATAGGGTTTGTGTTTTCTTATAGCTGCATTCTGTGAGTTTTCCTCCAGCACCACCTCCAACAGATACATGACGCTTTGAAGGTATGACCTGGCAGTCAGCATAGAGAAAGTATACAGAAAAGAGAAAAAAAAAATTAAACAATGTTTTTTTTTTTTGTCCCCATGTCTCCCAGTGTCCCCAAATTTTTCAGTGTCCCCATGTCTCCCAGTGTACCCATGTCTATGTCCACAAGTGCCCCCATGCCTCCCAACCAGTGTCCCCATGTCTCCCAGTGTCTGTGTCCCCATGTCTCTGTATCCCTAGTGTCTGTGTCCCCATGTCTCCCGGTGTCCCCATATCTGTATCCACAAGTGCCTCTATGTCTCCCAGTGTCCCCAAGTGTCTCACTGTGTCCACATGTCTCTCAGTGTCCCCTAGTATCCTAGTGAAACGGGAAACACTGAGACATGGGGAGACTAGGGGACTGGGCGACATGGGTACACTGACACTGTGATACATAGGGACACCGATGCCAGGATGGCCTTCCAATTCTTTGGACAGACATGCCCCCTTTTTTGGCATGTTCACCCTTTTGGCAGTTCTGGTCACGTGATTCACGTCAGTGGGCCACCCTTTTACCCCGCCCATTGACTTCCTTCTTCACTGGACACTACTGTTAGGGGGTATGGATTTACTTGAAAGATGAAAGCATGAATTAGAGAGAGACTAGCCTATTTTAAGAGAATCTGAGTTTTCTTATAGCTGAATCCTATGTGTTTCCCTCTGGCAACATGTCCATCAGCTACATGATGCTTGGGAGGTATGACTGTTTTAGTGTTTTTGGTCGATAAGATTCTGTAATTAGGCTCATCATAATTGTCAGCACCAGGCCCACTGGGCTCTTAATCTGGCTCTGTGCAAGACCCCTGAGATTGAACAAGTCAGGCTGGAAACCAAAAAAGGGCCTGGATTATTCCCTAAATGGACGTCAGGACAAAATTTTGGATACCCTGGGCCCTTTGTAAAAGCTGTATGAGCTTCTGGATGCCGCTAGAGCTGGCGACTCGGTCCTAGATGTCGATGTGGCCATAGGATGGGTCCAGCGGGCTATTTGTCTTCTGGGGAATGCGAATACCGCTATGTCAGCGGAAAGACGTAAAGCGATTTTGCTGAAAATCGACCCCAAATTGGCTGCCATGACGGTGGCAGAACCTAGTTCATCCAGTGATGGGATGTTATTTGGTGATACCTTCGGGAAGGGCCTGGGGTCCTATGTTAAAACCTTTACGGCCATTGATAAAGCCCAGGCCAATATGAAGCGCATGTTTGCACCTAAGGTTTTCTGAGGGGGCGGGCGTAGTAGGAGCCGTCCACCCGGCCGTGGATTCTGAGGCTCATTCCGAGCCAACAGAGGTTCCTTTTTCCCCTCCCGGGGCTTCCAGGGTCTGAGAGCTCCTACCTTCTTCCCAGCTAGAGAGAGGTCATGGGGTTCCAGATACCCCCGCGGTGCCACTTCGGGCAGACGTCCTTATGGTGAGTACCCATTCTTCCCTTCTCGCTCAAGTGCGGGTTGGCCTTATTCTGCCAGGGGTGGGCAGCTGTGACTTCGGATGCTTGGGTGTTACAGTCAGTACGGGGTTATCACCTCGAGTTTGTATCTTTGCCTGTCCAATTGTCAGTCCCCAGAGAACTGTCCCTTCCCTCAGAACAGGAGGAGATGATTTCCACGGAAATCAGGGAGATGTTGTCAAAAGGCGCTATAGAGGAGTTGCCGTTTGCCGCCCCAGGCTTTACGAGCAACCTCTTCCTGGTACCAAATAAAGGGGGAGGTGTCCGTCCGGTGATAAATCTCCGACCCCTCAATACGTTCCTCCGGTACCAGCATTTTCAGATGGAGGGCATACATTGCCTCAGAGACCTCCTCCGTGCGTCAGATTGGATGGCCAAGCTATATTTGAAGGATGCATATTTCACAGTGCCCATTGCGGTGGAACACAGGGACTACCTCCACTTCACCTGGCACAGGAGACTGTGGCATTTTATATGTCTACTGTTCAGTCTATCCTCAGCTCCTTGGTGCTTCACCAAGATCATGAGACCGGTGGTGACCTTCCTCGGTTCGCGTGGCGTACGCCTGATTATTTACCTGGATGACATTCTAATCATGTCCCAGTCCAGAGACCAGCTGCAGGTACATGTGGATTGGATGGTCAACCTGCTTCAGAACTTGGGGTTCATGATCAACTGGGACAAGTCAATCCTGACCCCGGCTCAGTTGGTAGAGTTCTTGGGGTTCAAAGTGGATTCCATCCAACAATTCCTGTTTCTCCCAGCATTCAAGATAAAAGCCATTCAAAAGAGCTTCAGAGGGCCCTTCGGGTATCGGACTTGTCTGTTAGGCAGTTGGCGAGGATTATCGGTCTCCTCGCGGCCTCCATTTAGGCGATCTTTCCAGGACCGTTGCACTACCCGGCCCTCCAGCGACTCACCTCCATTCAGGTCATTCGTATGACTCCAGGATACAGCTGGACAACGAATCCAGATCGAGTCTGACGCCAGCTTACACGGTTGGGGGGCACGCTGTGGCAACGATTCCACTGGCGGCAGATGGTCCGAGCTAGAAGGGACCTTGCACATGAACTGCCTGGAACTCTTGGTGGGTGCCCTTCGCGATTCGCAGCCTTACTCCAGGCCGAACAGATTGCTGCATTCTCCTCAAGATGGACAATGTGTCGGCAGTGCGTTATATAAACCACCTGGGAGGAACCAAATCCAAGATGTTGGCTCTTTTGGTGAAAGATTTCTGGTAGTTCTGTCTGTACAACAATGTCTCCATGACAGTGGAACACATTCCAGGTCTGGACAATTCGAGTGTGGATTGGAACTCCAGACATTTACGAGACTCTGGAGTTTGGCACTTACACGTTTTGGTGTTTTGGAGTCTAGACAGGTTATGGGGTTGGTTTGTGATAGACTTTTTCGCATCCCGCCTGAACACTCAGTTACCGTACTTTTACAGTTGGAGACCAGACCCGGATGCGGTGGCGACAGACGCTTTCCTTCAGATGCTTTTCCCCCATTCAACATGATTGCGCGCACGATCTCGAAACTGGTCCGAAACTGACGTTGATCACCCCTCTGTGGGGGTCTCAACCGTGGTTCCCGCGGCTACTGGAGTTGTCGATAGATTGTCCACGGTTGATCCCGAGTTTCCAAGAACTCCTTCTAGATCCAGATGGGAACTCGCACGGACTGGTGTTACAAGACCAGCTGCCCCTGATGGCGTGGCTCCTTTCATGGGACCTTGGGATGTCCCAAACGTTTCGCAATCGACTCTCCTACTCCTCGATAACGCATGGGCTCCAGGTACAAGAGCAGCCTACCGATCTTCATGGAGTTCGTGGTCTGGTTGGTGCATGGGACGGTCAGTGGATCCTGTATCGTCACCTCTCCATATGATCTTAGAGTTCCTCACTCACATGTTCGATTCGGGCAAGGCTTATTGCACTATCAACCTTTTCCGTTTGGCAATTTCGGCAGGTCATAAGGGTTTGGATGGTTCACCCGTCGGCAGACATCCTTTTGTATGTCGCCTTCTCAAGGGTATTCACCTCGCTCGCCCACCTAGGACTTGTTTCTCTGCCTTCTGGGACGTCAACGTGATGTTACAGTTTTTATCGTCATGGTACCCTAACCAAGGACTGACACTTAAACAGTTATCCTCTAAGTTAGTGATGTTACTCTGCTTGATTTCGTGTAAGAGAGTGTCTGACGTCAGGGCCCTTGATTGGGACGCCATAACTTTTACTCCTGAAGGTGTTTCTTTCAATATATACAGGAGGACTAAATCAGCATCCAAGTCATTTGTGTACCCTAGATTCTCAGGGAGTCCAGCACTCTGTCCAGTGGATTGTCTAAAGGCTTATCTGGATGCTACGCGGTCTCTTCGTTCGTTGGATTTGCATCCGTTATTCGTTTCATTTAGGTCGCCTTACCGACCTGTATCGACCCCGACTCTTGTACGTTGGGTGCGCTGGTTTCTATCTTTAGCAGAAGTTGACACTTCTATTTTCACGCCTCATTCAGTACGTGGTGCTATGGCATCGAAGGTTTCTGCAGTCGGACATTATGAAGACATAATGCGGGCGGCAGATTGGTCTCAGGAATCGACCTTCCGTAACTTCTATTTCTTCTATTTCAGACCAATTGAACACATCGCATCTCAAGTAATAGCGCAGCTTTAAACTTGCATAATAGGAGCATCCGTGTCTTTAATAAAATTCCCAGATTTTACTATTAACATGACGTAAAGTCATGATTTTATTAAAGACACAGAGGCGAGTATTATTCCCACCCGGTGTTGGGTCACTGGATGAGATGCTGTTGGACTTTTCAGCTATGTTGCAATCTGGTCTGTTTACTGTGTAATGCGTATGGATTTTATACTTACTCAATGTTTTGGTTGTATACGATTCTATATTAATCATATATTCTGTATTACAGGTCTAAGTTTCTGAGTAGCAACCGACATAATTGTTTGGTAAGTCTTCAGTTTGGAATTTGGTTATTACTCTCCTTTTGCTTGAAGTTATCGATTTGTTCCTGTTTCCTGTTCTTGCCAAGTGGTATGTCGTTCATGTTTTTCTGGTCTTCGGTTTTCGCAAGAAAGATGGGGATTGTGGGAGACACAGGCCTTTTATAGTCACTTCCTCTGTTATGTGATTGGTTGTCTGTGTGCCTATACAGTTTTTCTTTCATTTTGATAATATTTATATTCTCTATCTTTGCTGCTGAGGGAATAAAGAAAGAGTTATGCATAATACTCGCCTCCGTGTCTTTAATAAAATCATGACTTTACGTCATGTTAATAGTAAAATCTGGGAATTATGATGTCTTTAATACAATTTTAAAAGAGATCCAAGTATTTAATTTATAAAACACGAATTATAGGTCGTTTTCAGCATTTTATTCGATGGTGTACATTCCAGAGAAGTGAAAATTCTTCATTAAATTCATTACTAGCTTCCTTCCTACTCAAGCGTAAGATGTACTACCAATTATTTCAGACACCTGCTGTCTGTTAGATAAGTAGATAGATGCAAGTCTGATTTAGCTTACCAATTGGAGGGTAGCAGGAGCCAGTCTACAAGATATAAAAAAAACTAAATAATTCATCTGACACAGAGTCGGACTGGAATTTTTTTTTTATCACAGCGGCCCAGTAAGAAGGTGGCGGTGCCAGTGTTTTGTCATCACCAATGCAAGCATGCCCCCTCTCAAAGTAAGCATGTTGGTTAAGTTCTCTTCTAGGGCAGCTAATCTGCAGACTCCTGCTGAAGAGCTCTTGCATGAGAAAAAGGCCCTATATTTGTTCTGAGCAGCGCAAGACAATTTAATGCATGATGTGTTTAGAACCTTCTTGTGGGAATGTGTTAGTATAGATTGAGCTGATTGTGGCTGGGTGTTTTGTGTAATTAGGTTGATTGTGTTTGTGGTGTAATATGTGTGGCAGGGGCTGTAGAGAGTGATGCATTGCATCCCTATGGGGATTGGGGAACATTAAGTATCTCCATGCAGTATTGACCCAGGAAGCACCTCTAGAGACCGTCTAAGTGACTGTCACTAGAAGTGTTACTAGGCAGCAATGTAAGCATTTCATCTGTAAGGGCAGTGTTTTTAAACTGAACAACGTGCAGGGACAGGCTATAGACTTCAGAACAACTACATTAAGCTGTAGTGGTTCTGCTGACTATAGTGTCCCTTTAAGAATCGTATATTTGAAGTTGAAAAATCTGGCACTTTTTTAGCTGGCTCTTAGATTTCAACCAAATTTGTCAAGCCCTGTGGTATCACTAGTCCTACAGACTTTACCTAACTAAGAGATTCATTCACTGAATACTGAACTGTAGCCAGTTGAAAAGAAAATGGCAAATGTAGGCCAAAATATGCTGCTGTCAGGGTTATTTAGTAAAGTAAGAGCCAAGATAAATCCCAAGTGAATTTCAAATTTAAGGCCAGAGTAGTTGAGCTGCCTTACATGACAGAGTACTTGTCTAGTTCAGCTGTGTTGACCTTAAGTTTGAAATGCACTTTGAATTCACCTGAAATTCTCACTTAAAATTGTTTAAAAATTTGGTTTTTAAATTGAGTTTGAATTTTGATCTTTGCACACTTTTATGACATGCTATTTTAGTCAAAATTGTGCAGCTCAGTTTCAGTTTAATTCATTGTTTAGTGAATAAGCATCTATGTAAAACATTTTAGAGACAAAAACAATAGCACCTGTTTCTCAGCTGGGGAACTTGGCGGAATCTCAAAATACCAAGGTCAGATATGAACAATGATATTCATTAATGCGGATACTTCCGTAACTGTAAGACACACAGATTAACTCTGCAATGACCTTGGGTCTACAATAAATTTTAGTATTTTACTCCTACGATTAGCTCAAAACTGAAGTAGCTGAACAAGATGTAAACTAAATATTTATTACAATAAAAATCTTCTATACTAAGTAAGTATATAAAGTGTGAAAGTAAGGGCGGTCTCTGAGTGAAAACATTTAACAGAGTTAATAGAAACCACTGTAGGAAATATGTGGTTGATCAGGTAATTAAAGGGCCTAACCCTAAATTTGAAATATAACTACTTATAAAGTCAAGACTCACCAGAGGGCTTGGCTTCTCTAACAATTAACCCTACATTACCTATAGTAAAACGTCACTTTAAAGGAACACTGTAGGCACCTAGACCATTTCAGCTCATTGAAGTAGTCTGGGTGCTGTGACCCTTTTGCACTTAGTGCTGCAATGTTAAACATTGAAGTTCCAGAGAAGTCTGCCCCGAGTGGCTGTCTGCCAGACAGCCTCACGGACCTCCAGTGTCAAATTTTCCCCATAGGAAAGCAATGAATAATACTTTCCTATGGGGAGGTGTAATGCGCGAGCCGCCATTGCCGGGCATGCGCATTAGGTCTCCCCCGCAGGCTGACGTTGGCGGGGGAGGAACGTGGGCGGAGCCTGACCCAGCGCCAATGGACATCGGTGCTGGATTCAGGTAAGTGGCTGAAGGGGTTTTAACGAGATGGGGGGCGCGAGGGAGGGGGGAAACCTATTAACCCTAAAGTGCCAGGAAAACGGCTTTGTTTTCCTGGCACTATAGGATCCCTTTAGTTTGTATTTTAAGAATCTCTAAGTAAAATAGCAACAAGGATTGAGTATTCTATTACCCTACCTATCATTATACTTATAAAAGACATTAAATCAGTCTGACATAATGAATTCATAGTGTTGCAAATAAATGTATTCACTAAAAATAATTAACTGATAATGAAGGTGTCCCTATATGTTTTTGTTAAATGTTTCATAACACCATAAGAAAGGATATCACCAAGGAGGTAATACTCTCCTGAATAAAATCGAAAATATGTAATGCACATTTAATAGACTTCCAAGTAATTTTATCTGTCATCTATTACTCAATGGCCATGTGACTGTATCGTGATCTTTTGATGATCAAGATAAGCTAAATTAATAGTTAAGAGAACAACCTCATGTAATGTAGATCAGGCTCATCTATAGGACTTGCTGCTAGCAAGGGATATGGAACAAAACTAAATACATTGCAAGGTCAAATAGCATATTGACAGCCCTTGTAATTAGTAGATTCAGCTATTTCAGTAACATCCACTGCTGATAGATGTATGTAATCAATCTTTCAGTCATGCAGACTCAATAGATAAGGGATTGAAACTGAATAGCCCATACTGCATTTTGCTGTGACTTTCAACATATTTATTTTACACCATATGGACGTATCACGAAACGTGATAACGCGTTTCGCCAGTCGGCTTCCTCTGATTACTCTGCTGACAGCTTTCTCTTTACACAGCATGGTACTTGGAAATTTCTTCCTCAAAGCTGAGTAATCTGACAAAGCCGACTGGCGAAACGTGTCATAACGCACACGCCACGTTCTGTAACGTCATCACGTGGATCGAACGTTAACTCCACCTCCAGGAAGTGCTCGAGGGAAGTGTCAGAGAGCCCGTGATTACACAGCCGTCGGTG